GAAACCGGGTTTCGATACTCGTGGTGAGCAGAGCACAGATAGCCCTTTGTGTAGCTTTGTGCTTAAGTACAAACAAACAATCTGCTGCCCTGATGGTTAGGGCACGCGACTCGCAATCTGCGGGTCATGGGTTCGAATCCATGTTGCTCGTCCATTCCCACTATTTCAAAGAGTTGGCGGCGGGTGGTGTTGGTTAGTTGCCTTCCCTCTAGTCTATCACTGCTAAATTAGGGACGGCTAACGCAGATAACCCTCATGTGGTTTTGCTCGAAATTCAAAACAAACCAAACCAAGTTCAAACTGCTTACTAGTTAAGATTGGGGAACGAGATTGGGCGTGGCCTAGTGGTAAACGTACCGGACTGCGAATCAGACTGTCTAAAGTTCTATACCGCGATATACATCTACAAGTGGCTCGCACTTTCGGTTGTGAGCGCGTGACAGTCAATCATTATTTTCGATTAAGAGTGGCCGTGTAGGCGGCAGGTACTTCTGACTGCCTACTCTCCTTTTGCTCAGCATTTGAAATTAGGGATAGCTGTGCCTGAGCTTTATCCCATGTGTCGCATAAGGTGATGTTTTAGACTGAAAATACCAAATACGTTTTACATACGCGAACAAACACTAAAACGTTTAATGGTGGTACGGGTATTATGAAAACTAGTGTTCTGTGTTACCTGGATGTACCTAAATCCATGGACACTTCCAGTCATTAGCTTTATCCCATGTGTCGCATAAGGTGATGTTTTAGACGGAAAATACCAAATACGATTGTGAATCACGTTTTACATACGCGAACAAACACACTAAAACGTTTAATGGTGGTACGGGTATTATTAAAACTAGTGTTCTGTGTTACCTGGATGTACCTAAATCCACGGCCACTTCCAGTCATTATGTAAACACCCATTATGAACATCGTTTTGATGTCAACTTGTACGTATGGCAACAAGGGACACACTTTTCTCTGTGAAAACTGGCTGACAACAATACAAAGTAACAGATAAATAAAAAATTTACGTATTTATATGGTTTATCTATCTCCGAACGTTTTTTTTTTTAATTTCGTGCAAAGCTACACGAGGGCTATCTGCGCTAGCCGTCCCTAATTTAGCAGTGTAAGACTAGACTATTACCAACGAATAGTGGGATTAACCGTCACATTATAACACCCCCACGGCTGAAAGGGCGAGCATGTTTGGTGGGAAGGGGATTCGAACCCGCGACCCTCAGATTCCGAGTCGAGCGCCCTAACTACCATAGCCATGCTGGGTCTCCGACCGGTACGATACAGTTAAGAACACGAAATATGAATCTGACCATATATAGTCACTCATAGTCACTTATAGTCACTCATACAGAATGGAAATAGAAGAAAATGACCATCTATCACGAAACCAACTTTTTTTTACACTGAGTCAAATAACATTTGTATTTTTCATATTGACAGTTTCTTAAAAAAATCATTCTGTTGTTCCCCACCTAACGCATGAAATGGACTGTGCTCAAATAGCGGAGGAGTGTTCTACGCCACGCGCTTGGCTGGTTCAGTTACACAAGAACTGCTGGCGGTGTTCGTTGCGAGTGATCGTCATGCGGCGGCCATGTGTTCGACTGTGTTTATGGTGATACCCATGGTGTGGGGCCTACTCCTGCTCCCAAGGATTACTTTAGCTTCGACATGTAAGTTACGGGAGGTGGGTCGATAGACCCTTAAGCTCTCTCGCTTGTTTAATCTGCTTATAGCTGTAAGGATTATCTTTAGAACTGGTTTCTCAATCCAATGTTTCCTGAGCTACTTACTGGCCGACCTTCTTTGCTGATTCAATATTTTGCTTATAAAGTAACAAAAAAAAAATTGACGTTTTCGGTCCCGCATTTAATTCAGATTTGCATATATTATCTAACGGAAGCAACAGATTAGCACAATCCTCGGTTGTTAAAACGCTTAGATTTTACAGAGACAAAGCTTTTGGTGAATGACGTCATAAGACATGTTCAATATCCGTGTACCTGAAGATCACAGCTCCTAGTAGTCGTCGGTTGTACGAAGATCATTGTTAGGTATTGTTTTATCCTCATGGATGACGAAATAGCTGCTTTTTCATTTCAAATACCAACATTATTTTCCACATCGAATTAAAAGCTCCAAATGTATGCCTTATAAATAGTGAAATGAATGAATTTTGCTCTGTAAGTATAATGGTTTGTTTGTAATTAGGCACAAAGCTACACAAAGGTGATCTGCCCACCACAGGTATCGAAACCCGGTTTCTAGCGTTATAAGTCCGCAGACATACCGCTGTGCCACTGGGGGGCAAGGATAATGGACCACCGTCAAGATGTCTAAACGTGAATTTCTCGAGATAAACTTTCCAGATAACTCTTATGAAATTATAGTTGGATTGCTTCTTCTGACTATAACATTTTGAGAATCCTTAGTAAAACTAAAAATTCTAGTAAGTAACGTATCACAAGGTTTTCAGATACATCGTTCACAATTAGGAATTAATATTATATTACCAGACTTACTGAAACGAGGGTTTGTTTTTCAACAATACAGTCTTTAGTAATGTTGTTATGGGTTGACCTGAATCTGGAGATAGTTTGTCACCATCATGTTTTTCAACAATACAGTCTTTGGTAATATTGTTATGGGTTGACCTGAATCTGGAGATAGTTTGTCACCATCATGTTTTTCAACAATACAGTCTTTGGTAATATTGTTATGGGTTGACCTGAATCTGGAGATAGTTTGTCACCATCATGTTTTTCAACAATACAGTCTTTGGTAATATTGTTATGGGTTGACCTGAATCTGGTAATAGTTTGTCACCATCATGTTTTTCAACAATACAGTCTTTGGTAATATTGTTATGGGTTGACCTGAATCTGGAGATAGTTTGTCACCATCAGTTGTATCACATTTATTTGTTTTCTTTCGTGTTTGGAATAAGATATTGGGGGAAGATCTTAAGCAATGGAAGCTGTTTTCCAGATAACACATTTTGTTTCTAAGTTTGTCTACGCTTGTTCTGGGTTGTATAGCAACAGATTGACAATATTTCGGTTTTTAATTGAATTAAATTTTTGGCTTGGAAGAGACGTTTCTTCGTCCTTCTCAATCCTCGTTATTTTTAATGTCGAGATTAATTAGATAACTTAATGTATAACGAGTAATTAGGAAGTTGAAATTCCTTTAATGAACTGATTCTAAATATGGTTTGAGCCTAGTTAAACGTTAATCACCCATACCGAAATACTACATTAGAACTAACATTTTTCTTCTCTTTTCACCATCGTCCGATTTCACTGAGCCGAAAACCAGTTTATATAATAGATCAGAAAGGCTTCTAGTTCTATCCAATTTATCCCGTTTTAGTTATGTTATTAGAGAAAGACAAACGTTTATCGGTTGCGTGTTTAATTAACGTTGCTATTTATGTATTATAATCACTATGGTTAATTGGATTGTGTTTTGTAGGTTTTCATTTTATTTTTCACTTTCTTAAGCGAAATGATGTATTTTTTTTTTTAGTCTGTTATAAGTCATATTTGCAGTTAAAATGTTCTCTTTATAAATGCACAGGCTCCATTATGCTCAAGTATATCAAACAAAGGCACGAAAGCAACATTGTAAAGCACGAATTAAAATACTGCTTTTAATATAAACGACCTCATACGTTTCGGCAGCCTCCGGTTTCCTTCTTCGAATATATTTCCTAGTGTGTAACGGTGAAGAAAACAATCAAGGGCTATCCACCTAAACGTAATTTACAACGTTGTTTTCGTGCCTTGGTTTGAAAGTTCTTTTTTAATCACAAACTGCATAATTTGAATATTTTTGCGCCATCTATCGTACAAATGGAGTAGCTATGATGAAAAGTTGTTAATAAATTACGTACAAAGTTTACAAAGCCGGAATAAATAAGTAACAATTTTGCATACATTCTCTTCGCTTTCGTGCACAATGCTATAGAAAATTCTGAGCAGTTAGATTTGTTTCTTCTTCAAAAATATGTTCATGTACTTGAAATGTTATAACAACATTACACAAGTCATTGTTCATGTACTTGAAATGTTATAACAAAGTTATACAATTCGATGTTCATGTACTTGAAATGTTATAACAACGTTACACAAATCAATGTTCATGTACTTGAAATGTTATAACAAAGTTACAAAATTCGATGTTCATGTACTTGAAATGTTATAACAAAGTTACACAATTCAATGTTCATGTACTTGAAATGTTATAACAAAGTTACACAAGTCAATGTTCATGTGCTTGAAATGTTATAACAAAATTACACAAGTCAATGTTCATGTACTTGAAATGTTATAACAAAATTACACAAGTCAATGTTCATGTACTTGAAATGTTATAACAAAGTTACACAATTCAATGAAATATATATATATTACGCTAGTCATTTCTTGTATGTAAAGTTTAATGAGAATATATTCCAGAGAACGATCTTAGTAAGCGCTTGCTTCTTTAACAATACATCGGTACAACCTAAAGTCACGAACTAAGTTCAAATCTCAGAGTTCGTGAAGAACTGTCAACAGAAATTAATTTTCGTTATTCATTGAAAAGAATCATGCAGCTTTAAAGCGATGTTTATGACTCCGAGTTATCAAGAAAACTTAATTCACTTATTTCTTTATGAGAAACATTAATATGGCTACCAAAAAAACAACAACAACGAAACCTTACTGTGCTACAGATGAAATTTAAACAAAGTTGTCGTTAACTGTATTAACTGCAAATGAAGGCTCGAGTCGAGCCGAAACAGTGCCCTTTTAAGCAGTGGTTGATATAACCATGTCAATTAATTCCGATCTTCAGTTAAGATTAGCCATGTTTTTTTTATTATTATTGTTTGTTTGTTTATGACAAAAGCTACTAAGCCTATATGATGCTGACCATAAGTTTGAACTGTGGATCAGAAGAAAGACAGCAGCCATTACCAACTCTTGCACTACTGTTTAACTACGAACAGTGGTGGGATTGACCGTAACGTTATAATGCTACGCGGCTGAAAAAGGGCGAGTATGCTTGGCGCCGAGTTTCGATAACGCGATCAGTAAATTGCACTTCGAGAGCTATATAACCACCAGGTCAAATAGCCATGTAGGTGGCGGGCATAGTTGGTTTCTCCCGCTCTAGCCAGGTCTTCCAATTTAGAAATATCAGTGCTTGAATTAGTCTCTGACCTGACCGTTTAGCCCATGTGTCGAATAAAGTGGCTCTCATTTAGCTCATCTTTCGAATAATATTTATCAACACAATTATCTGAATACACGTGATTGTTTTAAAATATACAAATGTATTTTGTTTCATAGTGGAAATGGTCCAATTTATGCCTGTACGAAAGGGTTAATTTTCCTCTAGGCGTACAATAAACACACGGGTTTCGTGCACAGGTCGATTGAACCACGACATCAATATCTTTACATAATAACCTCGAAGAGTGAGTAATAGTTTGTATTCAATCACTAAAACGAAGAATAAATCATACAAAATATGACATACTATTTCAAAGAAATATGTATTAGTAATATGAAAAATTCTTTCATATTCATGCTAGCCCTAAAAACGTATCACACAATATCACGATATACAACTATTAGATTGCAAGCCCTAAAAACGTATTACACAATATCACGATATACAACTATTGGATTATTTGAAGAGATAATTTGAAATGGAGCGAAATGGTTAGGTCAGAGATCCCTAAGGGTCAGGTATAGCTGTCTATAATTTAGAACTGCTAACAAGAGGGAAAGCAACCAGTCAGCAGCACCCGCCGTCCACACAACTGTTCTTAAACAAATAACAGAATTGAATGTCATGGCTATAACGTTCTACGGTTTGTTCGACATCATATATCGGCTCGAACCCTGGACCGTACGATCCTTGCTGGACACGCTAACTAATGTAATACGCTCGGTCAATTTTTCCTGAGTATAATATTTTGGTTTTGGCTTTTTCTGTAAACAAAAATGTTAAATAGATTTCATGATAATTTATATAGCTGGCGCAAGATCTGGTTGTCTTTTTATCTGTTTTTCTGAACATAAAAGATGCAGCTCGACTTTAGGGAAGTCTGTGATGTTTCTTTCTTTATCAGAATGATTTGCTCCAGTGTCTTATTAAATATTATATTTACAGTTTTTCCTGGTGTTAATACATGCAACGGTTTTTGCCAGCTGTAGATAAGTAGCAAAAACTGGTTAGAATTTCCTGCTTCCTTACGATTGGATGCTTGTGTTTTACAGATAATATGATCAAATAAGAACAGCTGGTGCTCAGCCTATACAACTAATAAATTACTTTAAGCTTATAGTCGTAAAGTTTCTATGACTAGTTTGAAGCAAAAAACTAATCATAATTATATGAACAAACGCATAGAATAATATAGTATACATGTCTGTACATAGCGATATCCAACTCGTTAATCCAATGTACCTATCCAATTCTACAGACATGCATTTTTCCCTCTGGTATTTATTCAGTTAATTTTGTTATGAAAAGACAAACATTAATTTTCCTTAAAATTTATTATTGTGTCTTTTCTACAATTCTTGAAACTAACATACAAAATTTTATATTTTGTTCCAAGTACTAGAAAATGAAGCTGGAATAACACTCAAAGTTTAAGTTTACGTTTGAGTTG